GTTTTTCTGTATCTTTCTTGAAAGGTAACATATAGAATGAAGTAAGTAGAATTACTTGCAAGGTTACCTGGTAATGCCCTGCATAAAATGTCTTCATCATTAATATAGGAGGCACAATGGAGTAATGGATAGCGACTTGGATTAAGGAATCAGAGTGCCGAGTTCAAATTCCAATCAGATCCATTACATTCACTTACGTGCTAATACCCTTGGGGAAGGTATGAATCCTCTTGTTCTCTCTCCAGCTATGGGTAAATAACAGGCCAGACTGGGTTCTATAACCTTGGGTGGCAACTGGTCTAGGAAAAGGAAAAACTCAGAATTCAAAACTGGCCTGGAGAGGGTTGGACTCCATCAAGCTATCTTGCCCAAGAAACGCCACTTCTACTGTGGCTGAAGTAAATACATGGTACTACGGGTCATGGGATAAAAAAAAAAATTTCATGTTATATTACATAATCAAATAAGTAAAATAAAAACTGACAATTCCAATTAACAATAATTATGTGGTTGCTATAAATCCCCATCAAAAAATAATATCATATTTACTTTTATTATATTTAATTGATTTTAAGTGCATTATCTTTTTATATGTTTCTTTCTGCCACTGACTTTGGTTATTTTAGTTTCTTAATGTTTTGTTTCTACTCAGATTTTAAAACGACTATTGTTTTTAATATTCTTCTTTTGACATGCATGCTATTTTGAATGAGGAGTGAATGAAATAAGATGCTATGCTGGTTCCATCGAATATTTTCTACATGCACACTGTAATGAATATCATTGTCATTTTTTGGAATGGTGTTCACTCTGTACAACTCAGGTTACAAACTAAGAGGTGCAGTTTATGTGGACATGTGGGGAAGATAACAATTAATCCTAGAATTTGAACAGGTTAAGTTTGTAGTGATTGGGGGAGCATCCTCTTGGGAGTTGGTTCCAGAAAGCAGCAGCTCCTGGGAGGAAGCTACACTAGTAGAACTTACATCTCACCAATGGAATATGAAGGGAATGAAGGTGGTTCTCTGCAACATGTGTAGTTTGGTGGAACATAGGCAATCATGCTCTCCACTTCCCCCTATTCCTTGTAACTATCAATAGTACCACCTCCCCCAGACCATGTTCTGTCATCCACTTGCTTAAGACCACCAGTTATGTCATGCACTGATTTCCCTTATCTCTCTTTCCATCTATTCGACCTGTGAGTATCAGATTCTCCAGGCCCTCCTTTTTCATTATGTGTCCCAGAAACTTCAGCTGCCTCTTCCTGATGTTAAGCCTCCTCCTTGTTTGCATCCTCTCCAATACCTCATCGTTGTTCACATGTTTGGTACATGGTATCCTTAGCATCTTTCTGTAGAACTCTTCTTCATCTTTGAGGAGACTGCCCAACATTCACTGCCATAAAGGAGGACAGATGTCATGTAACAGCTCAGAACTCTTTTCTTTGTTACCAAAGAGATCCTCCTGTCTTGCAATACTCTTCCCAGCTTTTGAAATGCATCCTTGGTCATCCCAGTATGTCTACGGATCTCAGTGTTGCCATCCTCTTCCCAGATATTTAAACTTCTGCACCTGCTTGATTTTAGTGTACCTGATCTGCAAATTGCATTTCGGGCTCATCCTTTTACTGATAACCAGGCCTTCTATCTTTTTGTAGTTTGTACTTAGTCCCTTCTTCTTACTCTCCTTCTCTACCTTCTGTAGGAGTAAATTGTTGTATTGTGTTGTTCTGACATGAGATCAGTAGTCAACCTTCATCAGTCTCTTTCTTGACTATAGACTTTATTTCTCTTTTACTTAATGTATGCAAATAGGTACAATCCTATTTAGCAATCTGCTACACCACCCAGAACTAAAGAGGTTTAATGCTTTTGGTTGTTCTTGAATTTCTTCTACAACCTCTTTCTTTCACTCCTCCTTGAGATTTATGTCCTGATCTTTTTAATAGAGATCTTGGTTTCATTTCATCTTCTTCCATGCATAAGTCACTCTCACTATCATCTATAGGCTCATCTTCTACTGCATTATTCTGATCTGAAGAACTCATCCTTCCTTCTATGTCAAGATCTTCTTCCATCACAGTGTCTTACTTTTCAATTCTGAGTCTTAATTGGTCAGAAGGAGTGATGAGGTTTTTCCCTTTCTTTGATATAATGGCCATGATAGATCCCTTTTTCATTATGTAATTAGCTGTGTCAGAACTTGCTACTTTGTCTTTTTTTATACCAAATAAGACATTGTTAATGGAGATCTTATGTGTCCTCCCATTATTGAAGATAGGCTTTGCAATCTGTTTGCATGCGGAATCGTTATATAACTAAGAAGTAACCTTGTTAAGTAACCATCTATAGGATCTCTACTTGGGGAAAATGCTTTTAATCCCATTTTTATTTTCTGCACCATTCTTTCTACAATCCCATTAGATTGTGGCTGATATGCTGTTGTTTTGTAAGGGAAGCAGTCAATTCACTTCAAGCAATTACATAGATCTTCATCATAAAATTCTGGTATGCTGTCAATAACTAATGTTTTAGGGACCCCATTTCTAGAAAATATGACTCTTAGTATTTGTTTTATTGTAGTCATTTTTTTCATCTTTAACAACTTCAGGCCATCCAGAGAAAGCATCTACTAAATTTAGAAATAGCCCCATGTCATTAATGTGTGCAAGGTCCATATGAACATGTGATCATGGTTCTGTTTCTTTAGGCCATGAGTGTAGTCTCCTTTGTCAAAAATCCTTCATTTCTGTACATTTTGGACATTTGTGTATATATACCTTTTTATATAGTGATAATACCCTGGCCATTATGCCTCCAATTTTAATCTTCTCTGTGTAGCCATTATCCCACAATGTACATCATCATGTACACTTTTTAAAATATCTCTTCTTAATGTTTTTGGTGGTACTATCACATCTCCATTGCATATAAGATTGTTTTCCATTGTTAATTTATGACGTATTTCTTTATAAGGTCTTTCAGCTTTGGAACAATTACTCCAACAGTTTCTTCCTATATTTTCAGCAATATTGGATCTTGTAGAGTTTCCAATTCCAATCTTTTGCAGAGATAAGAATTATCGGGCTCTGTCCATGCTCCAGACAATGTCCAATAGCTCTTTTTCAATATTTTAATAATTTATTTCTGCTAAAATTTCTACTTGAAAGGTACATTATTGGAGGGCCTTCTTATAATAAAAGTACTGATACAGCTCGCTCACTCACATCCATAATTAATGTAACCTCCTTGCTGGGATCAAAAACTTTTACAATCATGCCTATGTTAATGGAGTGGGATAGTTACTAATACTGGTAGATTTGTATTCAGGCTGACTAGAAGTAATACAAGTTTCCAACAAAAGAAGTTCAACTGTGAAACAAGTGTTAAGGATCATATTTTCAGGAAATGGAATTCCCAAAATGATAGTATCTGACAACGCCCAAGAGTTCTGTGAACCATGGCAATGGTTGAACAAAACTGGATGCAAACCATACCATCTGCAATTAAACTGATTAATAGAAAGGACAAACTATGAAAAATGGATTGAAAATTTGTGTACAAAAGAAAGAAAAGATAGATTGTTGCTAAGTTATAGAACAATACCACATGCTGGAAGATCAAACTAGACAGTGAAATCAAGAGTAATATTGACTCTGAAGATGAAAAAGGACAATTGTTGGAGGAACAGTTCTATGAAAAAAGAAGATCAAGAACTCCAATATCTAGACAATCTCTGAGGGAAAAGGAGGAAGATAGTGAGGAGACAAGCTCTAAGAAGTACTAGGGAAAATAAAGGGATAAAACCTCTTTTGTACAGGGAGATGAGGTGACTCATATACAAAGGAAGTCACAAAGCTATTACCTATGAGGAAGTTGAGTGCATACTACTTCCCATGAGTGAGTAACACTACACTACAGAAAGGAAAATATGGAAATTTCATAGAATTCCTAAAAAGAAAATATCTTAAAATCAATCAATTATTTAAAGCAGACAATAACCAATTCTGATTGAGTGCATTATAACAAAAAGAATAACAAGATTAAACTTTAAAAAAAAATCTTTGAAGTAAATTCCCAGCCAAAATTCGACTTACTTCAAGAAAATATTCCACAAGGTTTGAAGGCATTTGTAAGATTAAAAATAATCATTAAAGTAAAAAAAAAATGTTCTTGATAATCCAGGAAAAGATGGAGAAACTTTCTTTTGTTTTTAACTTTTGAAAATTATTTTCACTGTATCATTTTGGCTCTGAAAACTTTGTTGTCAAGATTTTTTATATTATTCTTGCCTTTCAAATCTAAATGGAAAATTGCATTGTGGGAATATTAATGTTGATGCCAACAGTGACTAACAATACATGCTACTGAAATTTGATGGAGATCAAAAGCTGTGCTGAAAGATTATCATTATTGTAAACAAATCAAAATTTATTTGTTCTTTCTTATGAATTGAGTATTATTAAGAATTTAAAAAAAAACTCCATTCAACATGTAATTCCTATCATTTTTTTTTTTAAAACAAAAACTCCAGTCAAGTTAGAATCATGCCTTTTCATTGGTAACTGAAATATTTGGTTTGGAACTGATTCTGTAATTAGAAGCATTTTGGTTAGTATATTTACATGGTATGGTTTGGTTTTTACCAAACAAAAGATGTGTTCTTGTTATGTTAACATGTGTCTCATCTTTTTATTTTGTTTTGTCTAGCAAAATAGATTGTTTTTTTTAATTTTTTTTACAGTCTATCAACCCATTGCATATTTTTTAAAGAGATGAAATGTTTTTACATTGTAAGAATTTGTTTTTAATATAATCATGATTTACTGATACAAATCTTACTAATTAACCCATAGCTGAAGGGAGAAAATATAGATTCTTACTTTTCCTAAGGGAATTTATACATAAGTGAATATAATGGACCCAATTGGAATTGAAACTCAGCTGTCCGATTTCCAACTTGGAGCCATTATTCATTACACCACCCACACATCCATGCTTACAGCACCTGGTATTCCCAAATGGTCATCCATCTAGGTACTGTCCAGGCTTGATGTTGCTTAACTTTGCTGATCATACAAGAACCAGTGCTTCAATGAGATATAGCTGTAAGCCCACTCTAGCCATCTTGAATATCTATCTGAATTTCTAAGATTAGGAGCCATTATTATTTAAACTATTTATATTTGCACTATTGTCCTTGTTGTATTTGTTGTTCAATGACATGTGATCAATAGTCAACTTCTTGCCTGTCTCTTGCTTTACTATACACTTTATATCTATTCTACTGAACATATGCAAATAGGTACAATCCTCTATACCAATCTACTACATATCCCTGAAATGAAGGCCTTTAGTTGTTCTTGAACTTTATCTACAACCTCTCTCCTCTCCTCCTTGAGGTTTATGCTCTGTTTTTTTTAATGGAGATCTTGATCTCATTTCATCATTTTCCATGTTTGAATCACTCTCACTATCACCCATAGGCTTGTTTTCTATTGCATTGTCTTGATCTGAAGAACTCATCCTTTCTTCTCTGTCAAGATCTTCTTTCATCACATCCTCTTCCTCTTCAAATCTGGGTCTTAATTGATCAGAATGGTTCATTGGGTTTTTTCCTTTCTTTAATATAATGGACATGTTCCCTTTGTATGAGGAAGTTAGCTCTCTCAGGACAATTCCTTTTCAATATACCAATGGCTTCTTGTTTTCACTCTCTTGTGGTCATGTGTGATGTCACGAGCTGCGATGTAATTTTCGCTTCCACATCTTGTTTTGAAATTTTTCATGCAACAAAAACAGACAATCATTATTGTTTCGTCCGTGTATTGGTCGATATATTGAAAAGTAATTGTCATCTTTGATAGTGGCTTATGTAAGCTGAAACATGTATCAATATGGTGATTTCCTTTCATCTTTCAATGATAATGTTATTAAGCTTATCAGACAATATGAAAGGAACTCACTTAAAATAAATAGACAAAACTTGTCTATATTATTTAATGAAACATGCATTAATGAAGAATTGCTGCCTAAATATACACAATATATATATATATATACATATATTTAAATAGGTTTGAAATGGTACAAAAGCATATTAAGGCATTAAAAACAAGAAATTTTATATTGTAGGCCATGATAAGTTTAAAACAATTTTATTATTGAATATATATATATATATATTCATGAATTATTCACACAAAAAAATGCAAAGGTTAATGAATTAATTGGCGAAATCCATCATCATAAACAATTCAAATAATATACAAAACCTCGAATCCGTTATGATGAAATGATCCTTGTTTATATAAATTTCTGCCGTATTAGTTCTTATTTTTACTACAAGCTTTCGTCTGTTCCTACAGACATCTTCAGGTATAGAATAGATGTTGTTCTTGTTTTTTCTTAGTAATAAGAGGACAACGAAAATATATGTATTGTTGTATCTGAAAATGCTATTGGAAATGAGTTATCTATTCTATACCTGAAGATGTCTGTAGGGACAGACGAAAGCTTGTAGTAAAAATAAGAACTAATACGGCAGAAATTTATATAAACAAGGATCATTTCATTCATAACGGATTCGGAGGTTTTGTATATTATTTGAATTGTTTGCAATGATGGATTTCTCGCCAATTAAATCATTAACCTTTTGCATTAGTTTTTTGTGTGAATAATTCATGAATTTGTAAATTGATTGCATTGTTTATCGTAATATATATATATATATATATATATATATATATATATATATATATATAAGTGGAGGCATGGTGGAGTAATGGATAGCAGCATTATAGCCAAGTGTGAGAGGGTCCCCAGTCTGGAGCCTATAATAGCCTATAGTTTAATCAAGCCCTGAATATATATATATATATATATATATTTGGTTGGATTGATGTGAGTTTTCACGCTTTTGCGATCGTCAGACAAACTGATTAATTTCTTAAAAATTTTGGGTTTATGTAGATTGCGTGTATTGGTGTTATTATGGGAGTGGGGAGGAATCGTCGTCGTGATGTCACTCATGCTAACGCAAACATAGATGCATGTCCGTACACCCGATGAGGTACGCAGACACACATACACACTCGCTCGTCTGCAGGGGCTCATACAGATATAAACATATGTGGACAGTATGTGATTTGACATATGTATATATATGGGTGCTGTTGTCTCTATACATATGCATTTGTATGTTGAAATTCAAAGATTGGAAGTGTAGCGAAAATTTCTCGTGAATGTCTTGTGAATGTATACATGTCAGCAATCAGAGCATTTTTCTATTTTTTCACTGAATAATATTTCCTCGCATGCACGTATATATGTGTGGTGGGGTCTGTGTAAAATTATGATAGGTAAAAATTGCTATTATTTTTAATTTTTTAAAAGTTTATTTGTTATTATTTTAAAGCTGGTTTTTTGCTTGTTTTTGATGACTGTGTATATGTAACTGGTAGAAATTTCAGTTTGTAATCCTTATTGGTTATTTTTATGGTTGTATTAAATATGCTGGGGGAGGCGGGTAGTTTACATTAATAATTATGACGGGTTTACATGATAATAGTAGATGTGATGTGATAGTAATGTTGTAAGGGGATTGGTGGCAATGATAATACAAGTAGCTAATAGTTATTGTAAATTGGTAGAAGTGATTAGTAATGGTGGTGGGAGAATGATAAAAACAATAAATGTAATTATTGTGGTGCTAGCTTGAACTAAAAAGTGATTGTTGGTGTTTTATTTTATTTTATTTCATTTATTTATTTATTTATTTATTTTGGTATAAATCCTACAGTTTTCACACACACACACACACACACACACACACATATATATATATATATATATATATTTGGTTGGATAGATGTGAGTTTGTGACCCTGGGTTTCACGCTTTAGCGATCATCAGACAAACTGATTAATGTTTTAAAAAATTTGAGTTTATGTAGATTGCGTGTATTGGTGTTATTGTGGAAGTGGTGGGGGAAATTTCGTCGTTTTGTCATTCATCGTACTAACGCAAACATCGATGTATACAGACACATATACATACTTGGTCGTCCGTCGGGACTCATACATATATAAACGTATAGTTTGTCTGACGATCGCTAAAGCGTGAAACCCAGGGTCACAAACTCACATCTATCCAACCAAATATGTTAGCTCTATCTCTGATATTGAGCGCTTTCTAATAAATTACAGATATAATATATAAATAATTATACATATATATATTTATTTATATTTATATACACTTTTCACACACACACACACACATATATATATATATATATATATATATATATATATATATATATTATACACACATTTAAATCACATATACATATATATATATATATATTTGAATAATTTCATCCCAAGCAAGGCAATAAAGCCACTAAAGCACAAGATGTTACTGAGCATGAAATGCTAAGAAAAAGAAAAGGATTATTAATGAGAGAGAACAATAAAAGAAGAGGAAATAAGAGAAAAGATAATGATTGCCATTGCATTCAAACTTTTGAAGATCAATGTTGACTGGAAGTAAGCAAGAAACTAGAAGAGAGTTGTTTGAGCAAAAAGTGTGAGGGAAGAAAGTGTTAGCTAAGAAGTTACAGTTATAGAATTATCCAATTCTGTCTGATTTGTGGATTATGTCAGAAGGAGAAGATTTTCCACATTTCCACACCCACTCCTTTATACACAACCATACACACACACACATGCATGCATACACATGTACACACATATATATACATGTATAATTTTCAGAGTTGTGTTGATTGAATGTGTGATAAAACAAAACAAACCTTTGTAAAAGAATGTTTATAAAATCTATTTCATATATATATATATATATATATATATATATATGTATATACAGGGTGTGATGGATAAATTACACAAAAATGAAAATAACAGTGACATTTCATATATATGTATCATATATCTATGTATATAGATATATATGTATCATATATATGTATCATATCATATCATATATATATATATATATATATATATATATATACTGGATGCAATGGATAAATTGTCATCTAAATTATGCAAAAACGAAAATAGAACTGACATCTCATGTTAACAAATAAATTTATCAAACTAACGCAAAAATATCTTCAAATACTAAAGAATAGATTTATTCAATAAAATCACCATTAGCTTCAACCACAGCCTCCAGATGTCTTCTGAATCTCCTGCAACTCTTCTGTATGGTCTCCCTGCTTAAGTTGGTGTATGCTGCCATAATCTTTGCCTTCACTTCATCTTTGGAAGAATGTTGGTATCACTAGTGAAAACCTTCATAATCACCATTAGACTCATCCAACTCTTTCTGAATTCTTTCCACTGTTCTCAGATTGACACCCAAACACAATGAAATGTTCGTATTGGAACTTCCGGTGTGAATGTGAAGCAGTACAGTATGCTGTTTAGTGAATTACATCATGGTGCTCTTTTTCTCACTGACAGTGCCCAACTGAGCCTACTATGCTCTGCAGTCAACAAAAACAAACACAAACAACATGCATGCATGAAATTAAAAATATGAAATCGCGACAATTTACCCATCGCACCAAGTGCACATGCGAACACACACACACATATATATATCCAAGTGTAAAAGAACAAAGACTAAAATTTCAATGTTCAAACCATTAATTTAAAACAGAAGTAGAGCAATAACTATTTATTATGCACTGTTACATTAGAAGATGTAAATATCTTCAACAAAATTGTACATTTCATTTCAACTTTAAATCAACAATCATTGTTTGCCACCTAGATGATCGCTGATTTAACATTGAAACAAAATGTACAATTTTGTAGTGGATATTTACATATTCTAATGTAACAGTGCATAATATATATATATATATATATATATATATATATATATATATATATATATGATAAAATATAGTTTTTAGGTGTGCTATATTTATGGATTAAAGTGCTCAATGTCAGGGATAGAGCATATGTAAATATAAAAGTTTTCTGTGAAGATTTATATAATGCTAAAAATGTTACCCAATTAAAAAAAATGGCTTATGGTGAACATGCTATGAAGAAAATGAATGAATGTTTTTA